GCGTGCGCCCCTCTCTGCCAATGATATGTGTCCCCCTCTGCCAGTGATAGCAGGATCAGCCCTGTTCGTGGCCCCATTTAGCAGCTCTGCTGTTTTTCACGGAAGATTTGTATCAGTTGATTGTGGGTCAAAGCAATTTATACGCACAAAAATACATGGCCCTCCCAAATTCAGCTCTTGCCAGACAAATCACAAGGAAACCTATCATCATTTCTGAATTTAAAACTTTTTTGGGCCTAACCTTCAACATGGGCATTACAAAAAAGAATGAACTGCGGTCATATTGGTCCCCAAACCCGAATGACCATATGCTCGTGTTCTCTGCTGTTGCCCAACAAGGGAATGACCATATGGTCATGTTCTCTGCTATATGCTCAACAAGGACCAGCAATGTACTGCTACGTCACTTGATTTTGAGTGGTTATAAAAGGATGATACCTGCAGGCATCATCCTGGTATTGTTTTTTTTCAGCTGGCGGTCTGCTTTCATATAAAAAACTATTCTAGCAGCTAATGAGCTGCTGGGTTGCTTTTACTTTTTCCACGGTTTTCTTGGGCTCTCCCATCCCAGCCAGAAGTTCTGCTGGCTGACTATAGAGCTGGTCGGAGGCTGAAATGCCTCCAATCATCTCTATGGTCTAAGAGAACGGAAATTACGAGCATTTCATAATTTCTGTTTCATGGGATATAAACAGCTCCATTTTAAAGTTGGGAAAGCATCTGATCAGTTCGTTTTTGGTGCGATTGGATGAATTAAGGGCAGAGGAGAGTCCTAGAGTCCATTAGACCCCTAGAGTCCATTAGATCCCAGATTTCTCAGAAAAGAGTACCTGTTACTGCCTATTGCTATCACAGGGGATAGATTTTACATTCCCTCGGATAACAATAAAAGCAATTAAAAAAAAATTAAGGGACAAGGTTTTTTCTAAGGGGTATGGTGTGTACTTTTCATTTCTTGCCACAACTTTTTGGGAAACGAAGAAAAAAAATGTAAATGTATTTTTTCTTTTCTTTTTCAAAACCCTGTGACAAAAATGATATCTACAAAATACTCACCATGCCTTTTATGAAATTCCTTTGGTTGTCAACTTTCCTAAAAGGGGTCATTTGGGGGAGGGGGGTGTTTGTACTATCCTGGCATTGGAGGGTCTCCAAAACTGTGATAGGTAATGAGGAAGTGACATGAGGAAATATGCCATTTGAAAGCCTGGAGGCGGTCATTGGATTTTCGGGACCTGTATGTGGCTAGGCTACGAAAAAGTCTCTCACATGTGGTATCCCAAAACTCGGGAGAAGTAGCAGAATGAGTGTTTTGGGGTGTTATTTCACATATATCCACATCATGTGGATCTAGCATGATGTATTCATCTGATTGAACATTCTACTGAGCCTTTAGATAAGAGTAGTCCCTGCTCTGATCACTAACAGAAGTTCTGTAAGTAAATGATGTAGGTAAATGCTGAAGGAACATAATATGGGAAAAAGAGATAGCCCTCCATCTGCTGGATGGATAGAAGACTGCACAATAAATATAAATTCTTAAAGGCACATTGCATAGTTGATCTTCTTATAGCCTAGGCCGGGTGTCGGCAACCCGCGGCTCCAGAGCCGCATGCGGCTCTTTTTCACCTTTGCTGCGGCTCCGGAGCACACTGCCCACCAGGTGACAGGCAATAGGGTTGCCGTAGCTCAGTGGTCGGCAAGCCGCGGCTCTTTTAACCTCCCTGGCGGTTTTCCCGAGTGTAGCTCGTGGTAGAATTTCTATACCACGAGCTACACTCGGGCTTACCATGCGGCGCTGCTCTGGGGGTCCCTGCAGCACTTACCTTGTCCTTCGTTTCCCGCGATGTGTCCCCTGCAGCGTCCCCGGCCATCTCCTCCGGCCGATGCCGGCATCCGGCTTCTGTGTTCCGGTCCCCGTGACGTCGGGACGTACGGGCGCCGCCGGCGGGGGAAATTTAAAAAATTTAAAAAAAAATGTCTTTTTTTTTTTTTTTTTCAATTTTCAATAGTTTAAACATTGCTGTTTCATCCCATTTCACATACATTTTGTCCCGAGTGCTTTGTCCTGTGCCTGCCTGCATTTTTACTGTTCTTTCTGCCTGGAAACTTAGAAAAGTCCATGGCGTCCAAAAAAGCGTCCCTTTAGGTCAAAAGCGGTTTTAGACCGGCTAGAGAACAGCGATAGTAAATCAGAACCACTTGCAGAATTGAGTGATAATGATTTGTGGGGAAATTTTCCTAAAAATTACAGCCTACAATAAAAAACTATTTCCATGCGAAAAAATGGTACCGCTTTCAGCACAAAAAATCGGAAGGAATCATACCGCCAGGGAGGTTAATGCAGCTCTTCTGTGTGCCGGGCACCCGCTCCCCTCCCTCCTCTCGGGCGGCCGCCCCAAAAGTCAGGACTCTGCAGCTAGCCTAGCAATGGGCAAACTACGACCCGGCGGACCTTATAATCCAGCCCGCGGAGCGTGGCAAACATTGGCTGTCAGGATGTAGGCGGGGCAGCGTGACGAACTCCTCTCCTCTCACAGTCCGCCCTGAAGACCAGAACTGCGCGGGAACACGGCGAGAGGAACGCGCGGAGTACAGGTAAGTGAATTGACACAATATGGGAATGAATTACTATAGGGGGGATGAATTACTATAGGGGGGATGAATTACTATAGGGGGGATGAATTACTATAGGGGGGATGAATTACTATGGGGGATGAATTACTATAGGGGGGATGAATTACTATAGGGGGGATGAATTACTATAGGGGGGATGAATTACTATATGGGGGATGTATTTTCAGTTTTAAAAATGTGGCTCTCAAAATAAATTTTAATCGTGGTTTTGGCGAGATTTGGCTCAGTTGAAAAAAGGTTGCCCACCACTGACCTAAGGCTATTATGACGATACACTGTGGCCCTGATTAACCCTTTGCTTACTGGGCCCTTAAAGCCCCTTCATGACCAGAGCGCTTTTTGCAATATATGCAGTGTCGGATTTGTTTTAAATGTTGCAATGGTTTTGCGGCTCCCAGTCTTTTTTTCCCTCTCGGAAACGGGTCCAAGTGGCTCTTTATGTCTTAAAGGTTGCAGACCCCTGGCCTAGGCCATCTTTATGTAGAGAAACAATTCTTTTTTCAGATCCTCAGAGTTCTTTGCCATGAGGTGCCATATTGAACCTCCAGTGACCAGTATGAGAGAGTGAGAATGATAACACCAAAGTTAACACACCTGCTCCCCATTCACACCTTAAATTTCAGATTTAGGAACTGCATTCAACAATCCCAGACTGGGACCACTTAAAATGACACTAAATAATATCCTTAATTTCCAAAAAATAATCCATACATATCCACTACTTTTTGGCCCTGTAATCTATTTTTCATTATTTTTCTATTTTTCATTTTTCATAATTTTTCTACCTCCTTTTCACATCCCCTGTGATCTCCTGAACCTCTTTTTGCCCCAGAGAGGTTCTGATCAAACTTTAACCTTTTTTTCCAAAGAATATGTTTTTTGGTTTGTTCACACCAGCTGTGTTGGGCAGTGTTGCCCAATGCAAGGACAAAACAATGTTCTATGGATTCAGTTCAGTTGGTGTGTGCTGGAAAATGTAGGACATGTTGCATTCTTTTATAGTGTGCTCCGACATGCTGTAATGCTCCAGCACATAATAATTAGTGGTGCACCACAATGAAAACTCTGGTGCTGAAACTGAAAATTCAGGATGCATTTGGCTGAAAACTGAAATGGACAGTTTTAAAAAAAATATATTATATTAAAAAAAAAACACTTTAATGATTAAAAAAAAAAACCTACAAAACACAATATATGCCCCAGTTTTTTGTAAAATCTGAAAGATGATGTTACGCTGCATAAATAGATACCCAACATGTCATGCTTTATAATTGCGGACGCTTGTTGAATGACGCCAAACTACGGTACTTAAAAATCTCCATGGGTGACATTTTAAAAATTTCTGCAGGTTACCAGTTTAAAGTTACAGAGGCTGTCTGGTGTTAGAATTATTGCTCTTGCTCTGACGTTCCTGGCAATACCTCACATGTATGGTTTGAACACAGTTTACATATGTGGGCGTGGCTTACATATGCTTTCACCACTACGAGCGAGCACAGGGGGACAGAGGTACTTTAAACATTTTTTTATTTTTTTATTTTATTACTTTTTCTTACACTGTCCATTTAAATTTTTTTTAACCACTTATTCCTATCACAAGCAATGCAAACATCCCGTGTGATAGAAATAAGCAGTGACAGGTCCTCTTTGAGATATCTGGGGTCAATAAGGCCCCACATCTCTCCTCTACAATTTAAAGCATTAAATCAAAAAAGCATTGATCTAGTGCTTTAAAAAAAAAAAAATGTTTTTTTGTTTACAATGTGCCGAAACCTCCAAAGGCATAGAGATGAGTGGAGACCATCTTTCCCTCACTGATCTGTATGACCAGCACTGGGATGGGTTATCGGGTAAGGCTGAGAACCACCAGGCGGGGGCCGGCGAGGGGCAGCGTTATTTTCGGTACCTGTATCGGTGCTCATTTTCATATCGGCCAAAGGCTAATAAGGGTGTTTTCAGCTGAAACGTTTTGTCCATTGAAATTTCAGTGCATCCCTAATAATAATTACTGAGAAGTTTAAAAAAGACAGCACATCAACACACACACTGGTGTAAATAAGTAAACATTCTAGTGTGTGACCCGTTGGACATGTTGGGGCCACACCTGTGGTTACAAAGGCAGATAGCAGGCAGGGTGGGATCTAGCCTGCCTGATGTTGGGGTTCAATAAAAAATGTCAGGGAGCGGAGGATGGGAGGTCAGCAGGACAGTGTACAGGGGGTTAGCATTGCGGAGCACAGGGGTTAGCAGGGGTCAGCAGGGGTCAGCAGGGGGTCAGCAGAGCAGCAGGACAGGGGTGACGTCTGGCAGGGCAGAGGACAGGGGTGACTTCTGGCAGGGCAGAGGACAGGGGTGACTTCTGGCAGGGCAGAGGACAGGGGTGACTGCTGGCAGGGGCAGAGGACAGGGGTGACTGCTGGCAGGGCAGAGGACAGGGTGTGACTGCTGGCAGGGCAGAGGACAGGGGTGACTGCTGGCAGGGCAGAGGACAGGACAGGGGTGACTGCTGGCAGGGCAGAGGACAGGGGGTGACTGCTGGCAGGGCAGAGGACAGGGGTGACTGCAGGCAGGGCAGAGGACAGGGGTGACTGCTGGCAGGGCAGAGGACAGGGGTCACTGCTGGCAGGGCAGAGGACAGGGGTCACTGCTGGCAGGGCAGAGGACAGGGGTCACTGCTGGCAGGGCAGAGGACAGGGGTCACTGCTGGCAGGGCAGAGGACAGGGGTCACTGCTGGCAGGGCAGAGGACAGGGGTCACTGCTGGCAGGGCAGAGGACAGGGGTCACTGCTGGCAGGGCACTCAGCCTTGCACTGCACACAGTCTGGGCACAGGTAGCAGAGCTCCTCCACCTCTATCCTCACAAATAAAACGGAGATAAATCCAGTGTCAGGCTGGGGCAGTAAAGTATCAGATTAAGGTGGTATAGTGTCAGACTAGGGCAGCATAGTTTAATTTTAGGGCAGCATAGTATTTTATTAGGGCAGCATAGTGTCAGATTAGGGCAGCATAGTGTCAGATTAGGGTATCGATATCATATTAGGGCACTGTAATGACAGACTATGGCAACATAGTGTCAGATTAGAGCAGCATAGTGACACATTAGGGCATTATAGTGTCAGATCAGGGCAGTATAGTAATAATTTATGGCACCATAATGTAATATTAGTGCAGCATAGAGGCACACCTAAAATCTGGGTGGCATAGCCCACCTCAGCACCCCCCTGGGTTCGGGAATGATACCACGTCAAATTCAGTTGCATGTAAAAAATACATATAATCGATTAATACTAAGCAGCATTAGGATTTGTATATTTTATATGTGGCCCTTATCCCTGAAATGGCCGCTGGTTTGTGTCCCAGGTTCTTTCTCCCCATCAGTGTGGCAGCAGCCAGGCACACAGCAACAGTCACTCTTGGGCTCAATAATTCGTCTAGGGGCTTGTCAAACTTGGATAGGGATGATGAGGAGCTGTGGGATATTCCTGTACAGGGGCGGACTGACCATTTGGAAACTCGGGCACTGCCCGAGGGCCCGGGGTCAGTAGGGGGCCCCATGAGATGCCCCTGGTACCTTTTTCATGGGCTTTTTTGGGTTTGGGCAAGGACACAGGGGCCCCATGATCCCCTATTGCCTGGGGGCCCCATGAGTTGTCAGTCCGCCCCTGTTCCTGTAGCACAGTATAAGGATATGTGGACACTCTTCAGTATGTCAAAACGTCTTAACTCCTAAGTCCTTCTAGAGGCAGCCAGGGGACTTCGCAGCTCTTAGCTCTACAAAAAATCTCTTGAAACGAACAAGCAGTGACATTGATGCTCAAAGTAGTAGCAACTAACAGTCACTAGGAATCAGCACCTAGCTCTGTATTATCAATGCCCTTGATGCTACCTGCCACCCAGTCTCCACAGGAATGTACTTGTGACAGACTCCTGACACCCCGACTGGGTATCTCTGCTAAGAAGCTGCTTCCCTAGCTCTGGAAAACGAGGCAAGTGACTATAGTTGTAGCTACCCCAAATATCTAGGCAACATCAGTTTTTGGAGTAAGCAAGAAAAACTGCTTCATTAGAGAAACACAGTAAATTTATACAGAAAACCATCAGATAAGAGCTAATCACATTAGCATAGACAATGACCACCCCAGACAGTATGGCGCCCACATAGGAATACATTATACATAGGAAGCCATATGTTGCAATGATCGTTCTTTTTGGGCAACTTGAAAACACAATAAAACACAGAGTTCTCTGGGCAATGGTTCCCCTGAAGCCCCAAGTCCATGACTTACTTTGTCCTTGGAGCTTACTGCCATTCAGTCTGCACAAGTAGATCCTCAATGAAGAGAGACCAAAGATCCTTATTGAAGTCCCTCACGTAGACTCAGGATTTTTTCAGGAACATAGGTGCTTGGCTCTGCCACAGCGAAGGACTTTGAAAACTAGCTGGAAGGGAAGCAGCCCTTCAAGCTGTGGACTTTCTCCTTCTGGGCAAAAGACCCCTCTGCTCTAGGACTCTATTTATGCTAATTAGCAACACTGAAGCAATACAGCTCAGAAGCAACATGCAGCTGGCAACATAGACAATGGAAGATTACCCAAAAAGGTAGTATACAGAAGACATTTGGTTTGGAGCATTTGCCGGAGGAATAAGTGAGCTGCCTGTGTGATCCCTCTGTGGGCACACCCAGCAGCATATTTACCACAAGGCAAACAAGGCGCTTGCCTAGGGAGGCAATTATCAGAGGGGTAGCGCCGCCCCCCGAAAGAAGGGACACACGCGGCAGGGATGGGGACCTGGTGAGGCTCTGCCATGGAATCTGAGGAAGTTAACGTTAATTCCTAAAGTGGAGTTCCGGCCTTCCAAAAAAAAAAATGTTAAAGTCAGCAGCTACAAATACTGTGGATATTGACTTTTAATATTATGCCACTTGGAATCTATATGAAGCTGGACTTTTATGTCCGCCTATGGGCTTTTATTATTCACGTGTGATAAAGCATATGTGATTTAAGTTATTGATTTCTGTTTGTATGATACACAGTTTTATGAATCTTTATCAAGAAAATGATTTGCGGCATTTAAAGGGGAATGTTCACTTTTTCTTTATACACTTTAATTCAGTCCAGTATTCAGGATTGGTTGGATGCATCGGCCTTGGTGGGGTTTGACCTAAGCGCAATATTTTTTCTATTTTTCTAAATTTAGTTTTTTCTATTTGAGCTCCCTCCCAGCAACCATCTGGGCAATTCCCCCCAGGGAATGGCTAGGACTGCATAAATATTCAAGTGCTTATTTCACTCTGCCAAACCCACTCTACTTTGCAGAACAATCCAGAAAACGGGGAAGCAGTGAATTCTGCAACCAGTGAGACACAGAACAGACCAAAGTGATCACAAGCAGCTCTACTGATCACAGGAGAGCCAAGCTAAATTTACCTAAACCAGCCCCTGACTAGGAGGGTGCTATATCTATTTGCCTTGAATATATTTTTACATACTTTTAGCCCTTCCTATAGATTCAAACCAATAGACAAGTGCTTACACTGAGAACTCTGTCATTAGAAATGATGGAAAAGCTTCTGCTTAGACCATAAACCTTCAGAAACTGCCCCTGGATGTTCTGAGTCACTTTGGGAAGTACAATTGGTTCTAGTTTTTTGTAGTTCAGAATCAGACAAGAGATACTTTGCTCTTGGCAAATTACTGGCCGTGGGCACATACTGTATATATTTATTTTTTTACCAGCCAGCGTCTTAAAAGCTTGGTAATTGTTTTTTGAGCAGTGCTTCTGAGCAAAGCAACAATCAATAAGGCCTGCACTAAAAACGGCATCAATCAATGGCTTGGAAGGAAAGTTTGAAAGACGTTACATGAGCCATAGTGGAAGTGATATAAAAAGTCTTATGTTAAAGTAGATGTAAAATCAAATTGGATGACATTTAATCTGCTAAAGCACAGTGCATCAAACAATTGGCAATGTATTTCTCTCTTTTTATTTTTATATTCTTTTCCCTCTACTCTCTATAGAAAAAACAAAAAAAAAAAATCAAGCTTAGCTATATTGATCCTGATCACCACTCCTCTTTGAAGTTGAATGACACCCAACGAACCTCCATGTGTACCGGGTTCTGGACACTGTTACTTCCTGGTAATGCACGATACCTGTGTTTGTGCGAAGAGGGGACATTCATTCTGCACCTTGCCTACAAATATGAGTTGCGGTGTGCTGTTAGGAATGGTACATGCACCTTCTTTTGGTGAGTTAAGACAGCCCATGAATGAATATATGTGCTTGCCACAGGTTAAATGCACTTATTCTGTTTGCCCCTTTTGCACTGCCCTAATAAGTATTTTTTCCTATTTTTTTTTCTTTTTTACACACACTTATGTTTTTTACATTTTTCTCTTGCAACGAGGAGAAAAAAGATACAATGTATCTTTTCTCTTTTCAAGAGGGGAAAAACACACACAAATGTACAGTGATTGCCAATCAGAGGCTATCACATTAATCAGGCTTTCAAGAAATGGACATCCTGGTTCCTGAGTCTTCATGCACACTGGACGTTTTTTACAGCGGCTGTTTTTGGCTTTTGACATTTTTTTCTACAGCCAGTAAACTCCCCAGCATGTTATCCTATGTGTCCATGCACACAGACTGTAATCAACTTTTTCTGGCAGGGGCGGTTTTTGGCTGGAAAAAAACTCAGAACTAGTGGGGTTCTAGAGGAGTTTTTTAGCTGTAAAAACGCTCCAACTCTGAAAAATGTGACAAAATGTGGTAAATCGTGGCAAACCAGCATTTTTGGACTTTTTTGACCCCCAAAAATTTTTTTTTGTGGCCAAATAGAACTCTAAAACACACTAAAAAATACAAACGCGTTTTTTACGTGACTTTACACAGCTAACGTTACCAGCATTATTAAACCGTGCCGTGTGCATGGAGCCTTATTACTAGTACTGGAACTCTTAGCGAGAGCCAGCTCTCTGTGTGCTGGGAGCGTGCCATACAGCGAACTCTCAGTACAAACCAGTGTATGCATATTTTTTTAATAAAAGAAAGCAAATAACATTTGATTTTATTTCACAAAGTTATATTCTCACACACAGCATAGGCATACTTACAATTGCATCCCGAAACACATTCTTCTACTTCTTCCAAGTGTGAGATCCTTTGAGTCAGATATAGATTTATAAAAAAGAAAAATTGCAAGAGCTCACCCTAAAAAATCCATACCAGCAGTAAAGAATATTGCTTCTATATGTGATGCTTGGCCCCCACCAAGCAGAGGGCTAGACCCGCAAAAGCTTGGGTGTTCATCTGAATTCCTGAACAGCCAATGCTTGGGCTAAGCTATCGGCTTCTCCCTACTGGGGACCAGGAATCCATCACAACACTCTTCAGCAAACTTAGCAATTAGTCAAGCAAAGATGGGCAGCATGGGTAGAGGGACACTTTAAATCTTCTTTCTGCCATTGTGGAGGAGACTCCCCCTAATTTCCTGTCCTTTCTCACATCCTTAAAGTTTTACTAAACCCAGCACCCTGCATTCATGCTCCTAACAGCTTTTTTTCTAACTTTTTTTTCCCCTCTACATGTACTGTAAAAATGCTAATAAAACGCAAACGCTCCTAAACGATTCTGAAAGCTACTAAAACAATACTATAAACACTATCACCAGCATTTTTGTATTCAGCAATTTTTTAACTTAAAAAAAAAAAGCTAGTGTGCATGGAGCCTTGGAGGCAATCAGATAGTTAAAGTGTTACTAAACCCGTGACCCTGCATTCACTATATCTGGTCCCACTTACACAGAACATGGAAATGCAATTATTTTAGTAAATATAAACTGCTATATACCTTTTATCAGCAGCAGTTAGAGCAGTCTTGTGATTTCTATCAGTGTCCAGCAGAGCACTGGTTACAGCTTGTAGGAGGAGTTTTCATTCTCCCCTGATTGTCCTATGAGGTTGTAGGACCCATGACCCTATGTCTGGAAAGCACCGATTGGCCCTGTGCTGATCACATGCAACCTACCCCCCCACAAAAAAAACCCCCAAAAAACTAACAATACACATTAAGCTTTGCTTGTAAGATCAGAGCGCTCATGGCGACTGTCCAGTACAAAAAACAGTGATATTCATAACCAGCAGACAATATAAAACAGTTTAATGGAGCAATAAAAGCAAGAATCACCATAAGGATGAATCCATGAATGAATGTCATACTGTGTTGTAGGCATGGCAATGGAGAGTCTGGATGGTGAGCTCAATGGGTGGAAGGTGAAAGAGCCACAATTGTTGGTATACAGGTGACCAAGGCCAGCGGTCTAAGAGAGACCCCACAGTAGGGACGAGAGGAGCAGGATGGACCTCCTCGGTTGCCAGAGATCTTCACTGGAAGTGATGTCACGGCGCAACGGAAGTGACTTCAGTGGAACACAAGGAAGCCAGAAAGAACCATCAGAAATCCTCAGTAGGAAGGAGACCAATCTCAACAAGTCCCGGCGACCATGACAACACGTTTCGCACGATATAGTGCTTTGTCACAGCCCTATGGTCATTGGAGCAGCTGTGGGATTACCTGCCTTTTTTCACTCTTGTTTACCTGGTGCTGGTTGAAGGCATTAGTCGTTTGTTTTTGTTATTGGATAAAACTGAGCATGTGCCGTTTGCCCTCAAGGGTCTGTTCTGTCAGCAGATGGATTGGAGACAGTAGAAGTAGAAGGATCAGAGAAGACAGGATCAAACATCCTTGTTACACAATGCCGAGGATTAACCCCTTAGGTTCCACAGTGAGTATAGCAAGCATACTTTACTGCATATACAGACTGATTGTACTGTTGTGGGTTTAGTAACACATTAAGGGTTCATGTACAGTGCAGCTGCTAAACTGATGTTCAGGAACTGTTCAGCGGTTAGTCGTTAGTTGTTTTTTTGAACGCACCAAACTTGCATTCAGGAGTAGATTTTACCAGCGTTTCAAACGGCACACGCTTGTAAACGTGGTTCACCGTGTTTATAAGCATTTGCATTTAGAAGCATTTTTAACTGTTCCATATCCAGATGCTGTCCACAGCCTTTTTTTATCATCAGAAAGCATGCAAAGCGTTTTCCATGTATTCAAATGGACCCGATACACCAGCGCAGTCAGTTCCAGGTTTTGCGTGAAGGAAAAATGGTAGAACATGCCGCATTATGCTCATGATGGGATCCATGGTGACTACAACCAGAAAAGACAGGTCATCTCAACAAATACTACTCTCTCTGCTTCTGCTCTCTCTACTTCTCTCATAATGTCTGAAATAGTTAATTATTTACTATTTTTTCAGTGCATTCTGGAGGGTCTCCTGAGGTTATCTTTTAAAAACGCTTCTAAACGCAAACGCGCATAAACCCGGTATGCAAACGTGGATAAGCTGACGTTTTTTAAAGTACATTTTCCAGCAGTCAGTTTTCATCATTCAGAAGAGTTTTCCAAATACCCCGTGTACATGAACCCTAACTTGCGCACTTGTGTACAATGTGTAGGGGCAGCGAGTTGTCATACAATGCCTTGTTACAACCCACTGCACTGTTGTAGCATGCAGCAAATTGCGCTGTGTAAAAATGCATACATGCTGTCATATTACTCTGTGCACACCACGACACATGTATTGTGTGAACAGGGAACATTAAAAAACATTTGGTTTCGAGTGTTTTAGCATTGTGGTGTGTATATGAGCCATTGAAGTTGACTTATAAAAACGTATTGCAAGTAAAAAGAATATTTCAGTCTAAACACAAGAAAATGACTTACATTCTAAATATTTACAATATCCATTTTATTCCCTGTCACTAATCCATTTTTACAGCTACTGAGCACAGATCTCAGAGGCAAAGCTATTGCACGGTGTGCTTTAATCATATTCTCTACAAGAATGATTGCTTGTGTCACCATTCTTGCGATTCTCTATCTGTATCCCAGATTCATCCACAAACATCTCTGAAAGAAACTTATAGCATCACAGCTAAATGCCAAGTGTGTCTCTTAAATAATTGATAGGCCAGCCTGCGAAACATGGAGCTGCGAGTTCAGAAGAATGAATCCCTCTACTCTGTAGAGATGGCAGACAGCACACTGCGCTACTATTAGGCCGATAGTTCCCTATAAGAGTGAGCACATGTCAAGAAGCAGCACAAGGCGAAAGTATAAATCACACAACAGTATGGTAGGGCTATTGGAAACGACAACAATGTGAATGGAAGTGTGCTAAAGGGATTGTTATTTGCTAAAAACATTTCGGTACTACCGGTATAAAGTGTTCTATTTGTGAAAGGTGGGAAGCGTGTATACATGTGTTAGAATTTAAAAGGGTAACTCCACTTACGTGGGGGAAAAAAATTGCAAAATTAAAAAAAATGATAATATAGTATATTCAATTGTGACACAAGTCATATTGTAATTGAAATGTAATTAAAAATTATCTTTCCTTTTCCATCTGAAGCGCTGTCATTCTGTAAAATGCAGTTGAATATCGCTACCTGGAGGCATTCTGTACAAAGACGGAAAACAGAACGCCCCCAGAAATGTCATTTCCTGCTTGTGTGATTGGCTTACTGATTTTCCCAGAAGTCTGCACTAAAATGCAAGTCAGATTTTAGGCATCCCATGCAGCTAAAATATCATGATTAGTGAGATACTTTTCTCAAAGGGAAATCACATCTAAAGGGATGAAGACTCTGCAATTTTCCCTCATTAGAGCCTTGCAGGTGCAACAGCTGATTAAATCCTCATGCACACAGGACCTTTTTACAGTGGCTGTTTTTGGCTTTTGACTTTTTTTCTACAGCCAGTAAGCCCCCCAGCATGTTATCCTATGTGTCCATGCACACACAGACTGTAATCAAGTTTTTTGGCAGTGGCATTTTTTGGCTGGAAAAAAAACCCAGGACTAGTAGGTTTCTAGAAGAGAGAAAACCATGGTAAAACACAGTAAATTGCAGCAAACCAGTGTTTTTGGACTGTTTTTGACCAAAAGAAACGCTAAAAAACAAAGCTAAAAGCTAATGCAAAAATGCTGAAAAACTCACGTTTTTAACTTGACTTTACACAGCTAACATTACCAGCATTATTAAAATGGCCAGATTGCATGGAGCCTAATAATTATGAAACCAGTCCCATACAGATTCATGGACACAAAAAGCAATTTCTTCAGAATAACAAAAGGTAGGAAAAAATGTGTTAAAATCTTTGCAATGTACATTGATGACCTAGAAAGGAATTTTTTTTTGTCAACAAAAGTGGAGTTACTCTTTAAAGCTAACGTTTAGTTAATTTGTGTTTTTCTTTCTTTTTTATACAACACCAGGGGCATAATGTATCTGTAATAAAGCACGCCCCATGTTCTTTTAGCTGCTGCATAGAAATCTTCTCCCTACTGTTCCCAGGTCCTCTCCACAGCATCCATCTTCTGGTGCTGCTGGGGTTAACATCAGTTACTGTGAGTACGAAAGTTGTGGCACTTGTCCACATCTTACATTCATAGAATTCATAGTACTTTTCTCTCTCTATACCTCTTCCCTGGGCCAACTGATAACCTCCCATGGCTTCCTATGCTGATGACACCCAGATCTATCTCTCCACTCCCCAGCTCACCCCCTCAATCTCCTCACGTATCACAAATCTACTAAGCGACATATCAGCATGGATGTCACATCACTACCTCAAACTCAATCTTTCAAAAACTGAGCTTGTAATATTTCCTCCTCCCCGATCCCCCACTCATGACTTTACCATTAGGATCAACAGCACAATCATTGGTCCTTCCCTTCATGCCAGGGTGCTAGGCGTAATCCTAGACTCTGACCTCTCCTTTGGGCCCCACATTCACTCACTGGCTAAATCCTGCCGCCTCAACCTCCGGAACATTTCCAAAATCTGCCCCATCCTGACTAATGACACCAAAAAACAACTTATCCACGCCTTGGTTATATTCCACCTCGATTACTGCAACTCCCTCCTCACTGGTCTACCGTTACACAGGCTATCCCCCCTTCAGTCTATTATGAATGCTACTGCTAGACTCATACACCTTACCAACCGATCAGCGACTGCTGCCCCTCTCTGCTAATCCCTCCACTGGCTTCCACTAATCCAACGTATAAAATTCAAAATACTAACCACGGCTTACAAAGCCATCCACAACACTGCCCCTAGATACATCACCAACTTCATCCACAGATACCGCCCAAATCGCCCACTCCGCTCCTCCCATGATATCCTCCTCTCCAGCTCCCTCATCACCTCCTCCCATGCTCGCCTCCAGGACTTTTCCAGAGCCTCTCCCATCCTCTGGAACTCCCTACCACAGCCTGTCCGGTCAGCCCCCACCCGGTCTGCCTTTAGGCAATCTATGAAAACTCACTTCTTCAGGGAAGCCTACCCCACCTCCACCTAAGAACTGTACTTGAATCACCTCCGCCAGATCATCCCCCACAGCTATCACCTTTTGTATCACCTCACCCTTCCTTTAGATTGTAAGCTCCATGAGCAGGGCCCTCCTATTCCTTTTGTACTGAAATGTATTGTAATTGTACTGTCTCCCTTGTATTGTAAAGCGCTGCACAAACTGTTGGCGCTATATAAATCCTGTATAATAATAATAATAGTGCGAGTTCTAGGAATGGTGTAGGCAGGTAGAAGGGGTGGGCGAGCGGCACAACTCTTTCACACTCCCACTGGCTGAGGTTAACCCCCCATAGTGTCAGAAGATCAGCATTGTGGGGAGGACCTGGCAGCAGCGGGGAGAAGATTTCTATACTATGTAGCCGGCCGCAGGACATGGAACACCCTTCATTAAAAAGGTAAGTTATGTCCCT